AAATAAATTTTGGAGCGCAAATTTCTAAAGAGGCTAGAATTAATGAAAAAATTAAAACTATATAAGGACGGTCAAAAATATTTTTTCCTATAATTTTTGACAAATATAGGAATCTATATGAATTCCTTTATTAAAATATGTGCATGCATTTGCATATTTTTGCACTCCTCGTGTATACTATATATACAGAACTAAGAATTTTTGTAACATTTTTAAAGAGTTTAAGACCAAATAAGTTTTCTGATATAAATTCAGAATTCAACCCACTGTGCAGCATAATTGTTTTAAGATTATAAGTAAAATTGGAACAGGAAGAATTACTTCAAGACACAGTGTAAATTTCCATGTTTACTTTCTAAAGCGATACAAGGAAATTAATTTATAGCAAGTTCTGCCAGACTTACAGGCCAAATGGCAATAATTCATTAAACTTTTATTAATATTAATTAATGTACTTCGCTAAAAATAATGATTGACTAGATGCAAGTTTCCATTTTAAACCTAAAATTAGGAAATTCAACGGCTGTTGCTAAAAATAGCTTATGCAAACGCAGGCAACTTTCACTTTTCAACGCATTTCCGACAATTTCCGGCACACATTCTACACGACATTGTAAATTTATAAATACATATATGTGTATATAGTCAGCTTGTCAACATTCTACTATTAAATTTGTTGTTTGTCCATAAAAAGCTAATTAATTTCCGAAATCGCAGCGATTAGTGAAAGGAGTACAGAAGCAAAGTGTTCACTTTTGGTGTTAAATGTTAGGGGAAGTACTAAATTATATCAAATGAGAATGTCAAATGTTGTATGCAAATTGCAGCACCATAAGTTACATAATTGCATAACACAAGCGGTCAATTGAAAATTGAAAGTGTTGATTTGTAAGTGGAGAACACAATTGATTTAACGCTACCAAGTAGAGAGTTGCTGGGCCGCGGTGCTAGCCAATATATGGTGGCCCTTATATTTAGTGAGATTTATCATATGGCAAACTGCTTCCATTGCGTTTGTTTAGATAATAAACCCTTTAATAATTTTAAGACTCAGACAATTTTTTCTACAAGTTTATACTGCATTAAAACGAGATACGAGCTATTAACACTTTGTCTAGTAGTCACGCACTCAACCCACAATCCCACAACAAATTTCTTGCATTTTTAACTTATTCAAATATATTTCCAAGAAACTTAGTTAGTAGGTAAATGTAGTTCCGATAAGGAAACTGATGTAATTTGTAACAAATGTGACATCAAGCAATTGAACAACCACTTAGTACCGATTTGAACCACATACAATGGCTCCTAGTCTATATATCAGCCACAGTGTAAACACGCGCCGGCGAAGTGGGCGCGCAAATTGTTTCCCAACTCAACGTTTATGTTAATCGTTTTTTTACCTGCGTATTGTTGTTGTAGGTATTTTAATGTTCCCTTGCGGTTTCCAGCTGCCCTGTAATTGGCATATTAATTTGCAACAATAACCGATAATTTTTCCTACACCACTCTCAATTAAAGCAATGAGGCGTAAAATTTGCATAAATTACTTGGCACTTGTGTCCATATTAATTACTCAAACATAAGTGTTCGCATATCTTTTTAACGGCGATTATATTGTCAATATTGTGTGACAATAGTTTTTTGACCTCTTGCGGTGTGGGTGATGATTGAGTTAAGAAGACTGAGACCTTCAACCAAAACAAAACAAATAATAAATTTTTTTTTAGCCACTAAATTAACTAATGTTTCTTGTTTTGGGGTTTGTATATATTTAATATATATAGTATATATACTCTCATATAGTCAATGAATTTGCTGATGATACATTATGATAATTTATTAATTATAATATTTACGACTGATTTTGTGAGCTTCAAAGCAACATTTATATGAATAAAAAAATATTTAAAATACTTCAAATTGTTGTTTTGGTGCGAATTTAGTTGCGAATAGCAGAAAATGCGTCTTAAAATTTTAGCTCAATTAAAAAACAGCAAAAACAAAACAAGTTGTGGTGAAGTTTATAAAAACAAAAACTGCTGTCGATTATTTCTTGCTTCATGACTTAGACCAATTTGCGAATTTATGACGATATTCACAATTTACGAGCATAAAAGTTAAATTTTTCTAAATCTTGAATGAAATATAAGCGATTTTAAATAAATCGATTGTAGTACCCGTAATAGGATTAAGTGGTCATAATACTATATGACTGAAAATTTTTAATCGTTTCCATTAAAGAAATTATGCAACAAAACTAAGTTCTTCTCTTCTTTAAATTATTTTAGTAACCAAAGTGACTTCCGATGGCGAACCACACGAGATGATGACCATGATCGCTGGACTCTCTGGACTCTTCGCTGCCATGGTCATACTAGCTGTGCTAGTATCACTCGTGAGCTGCAAAAGCGGCAAGAAGTAAGTGCCACAAACGGAAGTTAAACACTGATACTTAAATTTATTGTTGAATTTTTTTCTCCCCTCCTCTTTTGCAGAGTAAGACATTGCAAAAATTGTCCGCGCACCGCAAATGGTAAAGCTGGCAACACCGCACGCGTTTGCAGTTTGGATCAGAACAGTACACGTTTGTCCACCAGCCTCGAAGAGGGCAACTCCATGCCACCAACACCCATATACAATCCGGCCGTTTCGGTGATTTCTTCTGGCAATCTCTCTGGTAATCTAAACTCGGCATTTATGGGCAGTGAATTGAATTTGACGAACACGCTGTCGAAGCCAAAGAAGAAGACGCACTGGAGTGATGAGGTGAATGCACAAGTGCATGTGAAGGAGACCGCTGTGGATATCGAGCGCTTTTGAAACTTAAGAAAGCAGAATTTCTTCGAAGAAATTGTTGGAGCAAATAAATTTCGTGAAATAAATCTGAATTTATGCGCATGCGCGAATTGAGCTTGTGGGCGGTTGATGTTCAGAACGCGCTGGAGGAAATGTGAAGACTGATTTGGAGAGGTTTTTCTCGCAAAAGCTTACTTCGTTCGTTTTTTTTTTGTTATTGTTTTAGTTTTATAGCAATCAATGTTTAGCAATTTAAGCACAAAAAGTAACAAGAAAAAATATTACTAAACAATTACTTTAAGCACATGATTACCTGATAACTGTAAATATAGTTGGAGAATTTTCACGATACGCACCGTTAATCTCTCTAAATGCATTTTAGCTACGAAAATATCATAAATATTATAAAAAATATTTTTTTTAGCAAAAACACGATTGAACTTTTTGTTTTTTATTTCAACAAATTGTAATTTATTACAAAATATTTTTCTTAGTTTATAAAAGATTACACAAATTATAAAAAATATATGTAAAATCACACACATAACTGTACCAAAAATGTCTTTTATTTCGCAATGCGGGCCGGGGTGGGTAGGAAAAATTGGCTGTAGGCATTTAGCCTCTCGAACCGACGACCATTGCCAGCAATGCCATGCGCACATACATGCCATACTCGGCTTGACGGAAGTAGGCGGCGCGCGGATCCGAGTCAAACTCCTTGCTGATTTCGAAGACACGTGGCAGCGGATGCATTACGATTGTGCGACGACTCGCCAGAGTCATCAGTTTAGGAGTGACGACAAAGTGGCCACAAGCCTGGTTGAGGAGAAAATAGAGAAAGTTAGATAAGCTAAGATATGGTTATAGAAATGGGCTTCAGTCCTAATGTTTCTTTTATATCCTGTTAATATCCGTAAAAAACAGCATTGAAAAGCTCAGACCTTCCACCCTAGTAATTTTTTATGTAACCAAAGCAACACGGTCTTTGAACAAAGTTCTTTGAATTTTCAACTCGAAGTAGAGCTGGGCTCCCTTTACACAAACGAAAGACTTCTAAGTATTGTTCGAACTCAAAAGATTTATTCTACTAGAGATCGAAACTTCTTCTACATGAATGAAAGACTTCCAAGTTTTGTTTTAACTCCAAAGATTTACTCTACTGGCGATCTAACTTCTTTTGCATGAACGAAATACTTCCAAGTATTGTTCCACCTCGAAAGATTGAATATACTAGATATCGAAATCTTTTGTTTTTTCCATTACCTTCGCTTAGGAGACAATATTCAATATTCTATGCCTTCTCATTTGAGAATTAGCATTGATACCTGGAGATCAAAGTTCATATAAAGCGTGTGGTAACGTCTTTTGAAATGTTTTTTGCAAGAAACTTGCCTCTCCGGAATAAAACCTTGGTTCGAAATATCTGATTATGATCTGGAACAACCTATATAACCTTTGTCTCTATGAACCTAATCTATACTGAACTCAAAACAACGACGAGTTCGTACTATCTACCTCCCAATTTCCACCCAATTGAAATATTTTTCCTACCTTCTTGTATTCCTCCTCGGTGGCGAAACGTTCCTTTTGTATGCGTGTCATATACAATACATCTGTGGTCGGCAAAGCTTCTTCCATGGAGTTAAAAGACTTCTGTATGACGCCTTTTGTAGCTAAGTAGCGTACAATTTCCTCTGGCATACCAAGATTCGGCGGACTTACATACTGTAAAGTGATATTGTACAGAGTAAGGAGGCGTGCCAATGAATGAACTGTGCGCCCGTGTTTTAGATCGCCAACCATTGTGATTGTGAGACCATTAACGGTACCGATCTCCTCACGAATGGTAAAGATGTCGAGTAGGGCTTGCGTTGGATGTTCGCCCACACCATCGCCAGCATTGAGGATCGGTTTACGTGAGTGATTAGCGGCGCGCTGTGAGAAACGAAAAAAACATTATTTAAAACAAAAAAATCTGAGTAAATTGCTTTTAACTTACTGCAACTGCACCTGGTTCCGGATGACGCAACACAATCACATCGGAGTAGCCGGCCATGACGGAGATGCTGTCCTCCAAAGTTTCACCCTTTTTCACCGACGAGCTTGTCTGATCCATGTAGATAACGCGTCCGCCTAAACGTTGCATGGCTGCCGCAAAGGAACAACTGGTTCGGGTGCTAACCTCATAGAAAATGGACGCCATAATCTTGCCACGTAAAATATCATCCAGTGGACGATCTTTGGAGACACGGCTCTTCAGTAATTGCGCCAAATTGAAGATTTCATTCAAATGCTCCTTGCTGAACATGTCAACGGAGAGTATGTGCTTGTTGAGCAGACTGTGTACCAAGGGACTGATGGGTGGCGCATTAGGATGGCTTTTGGGCAGCAGCTCACGCAAAGTCGAATTGCTAGCTGAGTCGCAGCGTATGCGTGGCAATGGAGAGATGGGACGCAACAAACTCGGGTCACCGGCAAAATGCACCTTCGATGGCGGTTCGGCCAATAGCTTAGCGAACGCTTCGTTGGCCTGTGAATCGGAAAGGAAGTCGGTACTACGGTCTTGCGGCTTGTCGAGACCGTCAATGGAGGCGAAAATATCAAGTGATTCCATGGATTGTTGCATCAGCGACTTGCGTCCATATTGACCGCGTACATTCTGCCCGAAACCGGGTTGCACGAGCACCTCACCATCAACGAAAGCGACTTCGCCGCGCAAGACAACACGATGCACTTTACCCTTCACTTTCATGCCCTCGAATGGCGTCCATTTCGCCTTCGAATGCATTTCCTCTCTATTTATCGTCCATTCCTCGTCCAAGTCCACCTCGATGTAGGTGTTGGGCTGTTCGGGCAGACTGAAAATGCGTTTGGGATTGCGATAGAATTTATTCTGTATGTCTTCCAATGTCAACCGACCATCGTCAACAGCTTTAAGCAACAGTGGTAGTATGGTTTCCAAACCAGGGAAACCCGGTGGCGGCTTCTCAGAGTTTTTCTCCTCCCACGTATGTGGCGCATGATCCGTAGCAAACACATCGATACAGTTCATGTTGTCCCACAGCGCCTGCTGATCTTCTGGTGTACATAACACGGGACGCACCTCCGCACGCCCGTCACCAATAGCGGGAATGTCATCTGTGGAAAGGAACAAGTGATGTGGGCAAACCTCACATGTCACACGTATGCCTTTCTCCTTTGCAGCGCGTATTAGCATAATCTCTTCTTTGCGCGCGATATGGCAAATATGTACGGGACGATCAAGCAAATGTGCCATTAGTATAACTGAGCCCATAGTTTGACGCTCGGCATGGCATACGATTGGCGCACGTTTCGGCCAGTTTTGCATGTGCTTCTCCCATACTGTCATGTCGGTCATTTTCAGCGTACTAAACGTATCATTCAGATACATCTTCAAACCGCAAGCCTGTGAGGCCAATTCGCCAATATACTGCCAGTTTTTGTCAGAAGCGCCAACATAGAGCGCATAATCGCAGCGTGCGCCGGCCTTGGCTAAGTCCTGGAAGACCTGGAAGCTGCCACGATCCACAATCGAAGGATTTGTATTGGGCATAGCGCAAATAAGTGTCACACCACCAGCCAAAGCGGCTGCGGTTCCGGTGGCAAAGTCTTCTTTGTGCGTGGCGCCAGGCTCTCGTAAATGTACGTGCACATCAATGAAACCGGGCAATTTAACAATACGGCGAGACGTCATGCAGTCAGTGTGCGTCTTCATTGCTGGACGACGGCCTGTGATGCGCATAGACTCGACTAAAAGTTTTGTGCACTTGACATCGGTCACCAACGGAATGGAGTAGTCGACAGCAAGACGACGTGTGCGATAGCCATGCGTCATGAAGGAAGACACTCTGAAAAAAAAAAAAAAAATAGTAAAGGATAGAATTAATAGTTTTTCAAGATAATTCAAAAAGTAAGTGAGAATAGCGACTTGAGAATGTTTTTCTCATCAACATAAGGCAGGAAGAGATGTTGAAGGTATAATTATATATTTAAGATGTGAGTTTTGGTTCGACCATTATACATAATCTCTCCTTAAACCAAACAAAAATTGCATTTAGAAAATGTTGCGAAGTAGATGCGCAAATATGCTTGGGATTCTTTAGGGCCCTTTGATTACTTATTATACTCTGAACCTCAGATTACTAAGCTACTTTCTGAGCATGTAGAAGCTGCCTTCGATCAAAGAATCGACTCAGATAATTTTTATTCATAACCTGTTTTTTCTTAAATTCTACTTCCTATTTTTTCTGCTCTTCGTTCTCTTCTTATACTTATGGAATCATTAGTTACGCTTGAGTCATATCTCACCTCCTTGCACCACCTCCCCTCATTGGCAAATTGATGACCATGTCAAATTGTTTATTCGCCAAGAACTCAGCCAAGTGACGCAGCTCGCCATTGGGATCTTCCGGTGATTGCCTATCGAAAGTCCATTGCACGGATTCCACCTGTTGAAGATAAGAACGAGTTTAATCATGGTATACTCGTATTAATATACTGGTATGTCACATATGTAAACACATTTTTATAAGAGTACAATATCTGTGAAGAAATATCGGTCAAACTGAAGAAGTTAGATTAGTAAGAGAGATCTAGTAGTGAATTGGAATTGGAGGGGACCCACTAAGTTGATGCGAATAAAAATTATAAGTGTCCGTTTATTTATTGAATGAATTTAGTAAACAAATTGTCTTGTAATTGATACCGGGTAATGTAGGCTTGCAATCGCCAATTGTGATCAACATTGAAAGTCAAGGCTTTCTGTTTTGAACTTTCAACATAACTTTGTGCAAGAAATATCGAAGTAGAAAGTAGTAAGTACAATGTATAAATTGACGTCATTTTGCGTTCTTTGAGCTATTTGTTTTTCTTTAAAAGGGAGATTATAAAAGCCGCAACCTTTGAGGTCTTTAATCTTCTCCCGTATTAAGTATGATAGATTTACAAAGAATTTTATTTAAAAAATATGTTTTTTATCCACCAACACATATACATATGTATGCATGTACATTCACTGTATTCCGTTTTATGACAATTATTTAGAAGAAATATTTTCCAATCTCAATAAAGCCGAGCTAGATATGCCAAAGGGCTAGGTTAAACGAGAATATCGTGTATCCTTCCACAATTTAGAGAGGACATCCTTATCACAGTGTTTATCGTATCTTGCCATCTCACCACACAGGAAAATGAACCCAAGAGTTTAAATTTTTACCTTTACTTTTCCATATGCCTTGTCTTATACATATATATATACATATTTCTCTAAAAGTATAAATAAAATATTGAATTGACTTTAATTTATCTTTTTGCTATTTGAAGATAAAATAATAGGCTATATTTTTATACCCTGAACAGGAAATGTTGGGAAAGAAATTTGAAACAACCGGAAAGAAACGTTAGACACCATATAAAGAGCATACTTGTATATTTATGCATATATGGGCATGTAAATAAGCAAAATTGCCGCATTAGAAACGTAAAGCCGTCTGAGGAGACTCAAGAGTTGCCATTTTATCCAGAAAAAATATCGGTTTGGTGTGGTTTGTGGACCGGTGAGAACGTAACCGTCGTTGGCGACCGTTATCGCGCCATGATAGCCGACTATTTGATGTCTGAAATTGAAGCTCGTGATCTCGACGACATTTTTTTTCAACAAGACATATCGCACCAACCCATCGATTTATTGAGAGAACACTTCGGTGAGCAGATAATTTCACATTTCGGGCCTGGCGATTGGCCACCAAGATCGTGTGATACCACACCCGTAGCCGTTTTCTTGTGTGAATATGTAAAGTCTAAAGTCTTAATTTGGACAGTCCCGCTTCGATTCAGTGGAAATGCTTGGACGAGTCATCAAAACTTGCACTCAACGGATACACCTTTTATTGCGGCCAACATTTGAAAGAGATCAAAATATTACCGAAGTAGATTTTTTTTTTTTTATTCTTGGTATTTTGTATGCTGTCCTTGATACTGGATACTATATAGCATTGACCTGAACTGAAGACCAACAACCAACCTATACTCTTATTTGAGCAGACAATTTATGATGCTTACGCAGCTATTTCTCCTTGAAAGTACTGTACATGCCCGTAAGAGTATAAATTTATGTACAAACATATATGTAATGGTAAATATACACCTGCATTCACCACTCATTACTCAGAGGGACGAAAAAATCACAAAGTACCATGCAGAAAAATGAAGGAAAAAAGTTAAACAACTGCAAGTTAAGTGAAATGACAACAGAAATTATCAATTACATAGAAAATCAAATCAAATTATTACAAAAACAACACAACAACACGTGCCAGACGATATGGAATTAACTGCGTTTGTGTGTGCGTGTGACTGCCAATGCATTGCAATTTAAGTACGCGACAGAAGAAGGTAGCAAGTCGGGCATTCGAACATCTATTTTAAACACACAATAGCAAACAGTAATAAAAAAAAGATTCGATCAAATATTGCAAAAAGCGATAACTCGCCGGGCGATCTGCAATCATAGCGAATTTCTACGAACAGTAGAAGCACGATCGGCGGTGGATGCAAACGGGCGCGTTAACAAAAAAAAAAAATATATATATATATATATATATAAGTGTATATAATATAAGAAAAACAATTAAATGCGAAGGTTCAAAAATAAAATTTTTAATTAGTTAAAAACAACACGCTAAGAATAATAAAGAGGTTGTGAAATGGGTCGGTCCAGTTCCAAACTGCTGGAAACACCCAACAATCCTCTGCAGGAGTTGCAATTCGAGGAGCGTAAACGTGAACAACGCAAACGCAAGCAAGAAAAGCAACTAAAAAAAATCGCCAAATTACAAAAGAAACAAGCGAAAAAGACAAAGCGTAAGAGCAAACAGAGCAAGGACGTCGAGAAGCAGACTTCCATAACCACTAAACACGCCAGTGGCACGAAGCGCACGAATAGCCTCAATTCGCAGAGCACAAGCTATGAAATCAATAAGGAGGAATTCAACCGACAAATCGAGCAACAAATACAAAATCATTTGGATAGTGATCTATGCACGTTCATCATGAATCAGGTGTCGTTGACGTTGCAGTTTTTCGGAAATTACGAAAAGTACGTGGGTGGTGAAAAGATATAGATTAAACAGAATCTAGCGATAGTTGTGTTAGTGTTAAAATGGTCACATTCAGAAATTTTGTGGGCCTCAATAATTGTTTCCAAAAATTATATTGAATTTAAAGTTTTGGGAGCGTACATTTCGGTTTTAAATACGCATAGTTTCGAAATATAAATTCTTTCGAAGGGTTTTGAAATTTCGAAATTTTTAAACTTTTAGCAACTAAAAGTTTTACATTTGCAACGTAACTGAAGTCATATTCATTGCTTCCCGATGAATTAAGTACTTTCGAAATTCGAAAAAAGTATTAATCACCAAGTTTTGACAATTCGTGTTTTCAAAAAACAGCTTTCGACATTCAGAATGAATTGCATTTTCGAAATTTGAAAAAATGTTTAATAAACAAGTTGTGAAAACAATATTTCGAAATGTAATGTGAAAACGTTTTTGAAATTCGAAAAATTAATGAATTAATCAATAAATTTTAACATTTCGTGTTTTCGAAAAAGTTTTCGACATTCAAAATGAAGTGTGCAGGCATTTTGGAAATATAGAAAAATTTATTAATCAACAAGTTGTGAAAATTCGTGTTTTCGAAGACAATATTTCGAAACTCACAATGAAATGTTTACACATTTTTAAAATTCGAAAATATGTCTTAATCAAGAAGTTGTGGCAATTCGTGCTTTAAAAAAAATATTTCAACATCCAAAATGAAATGCCAAAGCTTTTTCGAAGTTCGTAAAAATTTGTTAATGAAAAAGTTGTGATAATTTATCCTTTCAAAAAAAAAAAAATTTCGACATTCAGAATGAAATAATAAGAGAGAGTAAAAAATATACATCGTATTTCGTAAGGCATTGTAAATCAAAAAGTGGAAGCATACTAAAACATAAGATTTCGAAGTTGATATTACATAGTTTGAAATGTTTTTAAGTGATAAAAATTTTCCAAATTTCGAAAAAATAGTAATTGTTTTAAGATATTATTGAAATTTATGATATATCTTTTAAATATTTCTATTATGAAAATTCGAATCGAAATTCGAACATTTTTCGAAGTTATGTAAAACTCGATTCCCGATTTTCTTTTTATTCAAACCCATTATTTGGAATCACTTGATATCCTGCCTAAAGGAGACATTTTATCTTTCCAGAGTCTCATCATATTATATGTACAAAAAATTTTCAATTTCCCAGTTTAGCGAAATTTTAGTAAAATGACTTTTCTTCTATCCCATTAATTTTTGAATAAAATATGCGAACTGTATTTTTCATTTCGTTCTTTCGTAGTCCCTCTTTCACAGGCCAAGTGCTTTCATGCAAGCGCAAACCAATTGTCATCAGAACACTTGAGATAGGAAATAGCCATTAAAACCGGAAGCTCTTTGAAAATATTGCAATTTAATTGGCATTGATTTCTAAGTGCTTGAAAGTCTTATCAATTCAAATGTTATCGTAACTGTTAGGTGTATGATTCGCATGTGCAACACTCTGGTCTCGCGCTATAACCACATTTCACATATTAACATTTCTAATTATTTATCTAAGATTTAATTATATTTCTTTCAATGTTCCAGTGAATTGGCAAACATTTCTGAGGAATTGCTAGCCAAAGAAAATGATTTGAATCAGAATCTCGAAGAGCATTCCATACTTTTATCGACGCCCTTGGATGCTGCTGTCTCCAAGTGGATGCAATATAAACCAATGTGAGTATGAAGTGAAATTGAGAAAGAATAACTCATTACTTTCTATTTGTATGTGGCATCTTCATTGGTGGTTCACGGAAAAGCAGTGTTAGATAAAATATCCCACACAAATGAGATCCTCTGGATTGCTAGTCATGGCAGTAGTTTAAAAAAATATTCGCATTACTTTCATCTCTATTCATTTGGTAATCATTCTCCACTATCTTCACAGCCACGGTCCAGAAAAATACACTCCTCAACCGCTCCAGCCACTGGCAATGTATGTGATATTCGAAAATATCGATATAGCGAGACCGAACGATGCGAATTACGATTCAATTTCACCACTTTGCAAAGTTGATTTAGACACGGATTTCTATAACACAACGCCCTGCAAGGAGGACTACGTAGAAATGTTGCGCGAGACAAAATGGAAGGGCTATGTACGGCTTAAGCTGCGTGAAGAACCAAAAACCCAACGTATTGGGGCTACCGATATTGATGTGTATACGGACGGCAGCTCGGGTTATAGCTCAACGAGTGTCTATAGTCTTAAAGCACCAAGCAATCACGCGGAATCTGATTATGACTACACCTACATAGCACATTTGAATACACATCACCCATTGTCCGAGCTTAAGATGCAAAATCAACGTGGTAACTATAAATTGGATGCCAAAGTCTTGCCGGACTCATGTGTGTCCAATTTGCGGCAGTTTGCTGAACCATTGAATGACGAGGACACCGAAGACGATGATGACGATGAAGATGAAACAGAGCCAGAGTCCGATGACGAAGACAGCGCTGATGAAGGTTACAATGGCGTCCAAAGAAGATCCAATGAGAAGACACGATATCGCGATGTCGAGACTTTGGAAGCCATACGCTTGTACAAGTTAGAGCAGGAACGACGTCAAGTTCTCATGCAGCAATGTTATCTCAACTCCAAAGAATTTATGCGTTACTTTGGTGAGTTGGTACGTCAACAGCTTGCCGATCGCTTACAAATATTCCCCGAAGAATTGAACGAGGGCACATATCGTGGTTCATCGATCTACACAAAATACTTCGAACTCATACCCGCTATTTATGTGGCGCATAATGCACAACACTGGCCCGATTGCGCATTTCAATTTCGTATACGCGAACGTCCTATCTCCACTAATCCACTAACTGGACAGCAATTTCAATGGCCAACGCGTTCGATGATTAGACGTATTGAAACTTTTGGCTTTCATGTCATACCCATTGGTTATGCGCCCAAACGACAGCGGAATCCTTTTCGTGAGCTCGAATGGCGTATTGTTTTTCCGAAAGCCGAACGCTACTTGGAGCAACATTTAACAAATACACAAGTGAAGGTATTCATGATGACCAAAGCTTTGGTGAAGACTTTTGTCGAACCGCAAGAGAAGCATAAGGCGCTCTCGTTCATAATGGAACATCTGCGCATGCATCTCTTCTGGGAATGCGAACGTAATTACACTGGCTGGCCGGAGGAGTATCTCGGTGAGGTGCTGCTGCGTTTTATAAGCACATTTATGCAGCGACTGCGTGAAAAATGTTTGAAGGACTTCTTTATTGAAGAACGTAATCTCTTCGAGAGCATACCGGAATACTCTTTGGTCATGTTATTCTCAATATTGGCCGATATTGTAGCAAATCCTTTGATGCATCTAATGGTGGCACTTAAAAATCTAGATTTTGAGGAAGATTTCTTTCCAAAATTGAATTTTAAGAAGATATTTGAAAATCTCTCCGAAAATAATATGTTGAAATTGAAAATACAAGCTAAAAATTCACGAAGTCTAGTTGGTTTGGATGGGGGGGAAGATGAACCAGTACTCTTGCAAGACGAAGGTGCAAAGGGCTTGGTCGGCATGAAGCAACATCGTGAGAAGACCAACGGTAAACTAAGAAGGAAAACTCATGTGATGCGACACAATATTGAAATGATGAAGAAGCAAGAATATGAACGGCGTCGCTTGTCAGAGGAGTCCATAGACATCGAGGTAAGTTGCAATCACACTGAAGTGGAAATATTTTGGAACTTATGACATTACGCTCATATAAGATATTTCTGACATTGATCTCAAATATTTTATGATCTCTGCTGTCATCCTTTACTTCATAAACTGACAATCCACCAATACTTCTCACTTCTTATAGTTTTTCTTCCGGCGCAATATAAAAAACCCCAAATTGAAGCACCTCAATCAGGGCGTTGAAAATTTACGACGCACAAATGTACTCGAAATAATCATCGACCATCTAATAGCGATGGCCGAAAAGGCAATAGAGTTTCGTGTTTGTTATTTGGCTAAAACGTTCTTGGCACAAGCGAGGCGACTCTGCAAGTTCTACCATAATTATGGTTGCGATATGGGTGCTAGAGAGTACCTCAACACCATTGGCAGTTTGGAGGAGGAAATCGCCGGTTTGCAGACGAATGAAGATTTTAAAAATTTACCGCCAACTCTGCCGATACGCACAAGTGTAGAGACCAGTAATAAGACTAAGCTAACCAAAGAAGTCTTCGAACATTTAGAGAACGTGCGGCGTACCGTAAGAGTCGACATTGAAGTAACGCATAGTGAAAGAGAAAACTCTCCAGCTGTCAATAGAAAGAGCAACGTAAAGTCCTTGGAGGAGAGCGCTGAGCAGGCACTTTCTTACAATGATCTCGAGTTAGTGGATAACATAACACCCAATTTGGGGCGACGCAAGTCTATTAAGTTTACCGAACATGTGGTCGAAGTACATGAAGGAGACACAAATCCAATACAAAAGCCTGAGGAACAGAGTTTGGTTGGTATTCTGCGCTTCAATCCTGAAGTAACGGAAATATGTGATGCACCTGCTATTGAAAAAGACAAGCGGGACGTCTTTTATGAGAGCTACGAATCGATTGATAACTATAGTTTGAGCGATGATGTTGGTGAGAACAGTCGTATCGATGCCATTGTGAGTACTGAAGAAATCCGTAAATCACAAGCGCAAGAGGAAAGGGAAGATGAAGCTGAACAGATAACTGATAGCCAGCAGTATTCTGCAGTAAAGACGCCAAGTGATGAAAGAATCCTCGGGGGTTTTAATAAAAGAATTGGCGTGCTGCGTAAATTAACGCGCGGCAATTCGCAAGTTATTAAAGATATTACATCGTCAACGGAGAAGCTATTTGTTTCGTTGGCCTCGGAAGAGACACGTTCACAGTTAAAAGAGGTGATAAGACGCAAAACATTTCAGCTGAAAGGTGCTTTCAATCAGTGTTCGGAGTCTTGACATTGATTTAAGTTATTTTTTAAGGGCTATGTACATACATATATTTGGATTGAAGAAGGTCGAAAGTATTATCATAAGCTTAAAATTAAATAAAGAGATTTGAAATTGCATAGAAATGTCCTAATCGCCATTTGCCATTATGGAGTGTCAAGGTATAGCTGTTTATAAGTTGAATTAGGTTGAACCAAGCAATGAATTTCAGATTAAGGAACATACGACCGCAGAATGGGGTTGATAGATCGAGAAGACTGCAGGAAATGTTTAGAGCAGGGCACCACGAAAACAGTGGATCATCTCTTGTCCAGTTGTTCCACATTGGCAAGACTACGCTATAAGCTTCTGTAAAATTTCGCTTCAAGCGTAGGAATCCTAAAGGATGGCTATTTCTCTTGCACCTAGAAACTGGTCTTCATTTGATCTTAAAAAGGACCGAAACTAACCTATAACAGATTTGTAGAACAAAAACCCAGAGTTTTTACCAGCAAATGTCTGTTAACTCGACAGCATTTCTAAAAGTTATTTCGCATTACTTTCGACTAAAACTAGATTGAAAGTCGATCTTAGCACATCTTCCCAAGACCGAGATAGTTAAACCCTTAAAATATTTAGAAATTTGTGGATAAATCGACTAAAACTCATATGGAATTTGTTCACTTTTATAAATAGGCTTCTTAGATATCTAAAACTAAATATTTTTTAATTCGTTGTACTCACATCCACACCATGTTCCGCATAGAAATCGCCAGTACCCATGGAAGCGTACAACTTGTAGCCCATTTTCGCCAAGTCTCTGATCGAGGACAATAGTTCCATTTTGTGCTAAAAGTAGTTAAATTTAATGTTTATTATACTTCCACAATTTTAACTTATTCATCGAGAGAACATACCTTAAAACTGCCTATCGAGAGTAGTATAGCTTTCTTTGGTATCTGGAAACCGGTAGACATCATAGCCTTCAAGTAGGCCTCATAACGATTGTCACCAAAGCAAGCCACTTCACCGGTGGAAGCCATTTCTACACCCAACTGTACATCGGCACCAGCCAGACGTGAGAAACTGAATTGTGGCACTTTCACACCTACTTTTCCCACGCCATGCAACACTTCCACCGGTTCCACTTCTATGCCAATAATGGCACGCGTTGCTGTTGCCACAAAATCATGATCCAATGTCTTCGATACGAAGGGGAATGAACGTGAGACACGCACGTTACACTCAATAACCTTGAGTTCATTATTTTTAGCAATCAACTGCATATTGAATGGACCCGTGACATCAAGCAGCGCGGCCAAATCACGTGTAATGCGCTTAATGGTTTCTAAAGTCTCATGATTTAAATCTTGTGGTGGTGTTACTAAAGTGGCATCACCGGAATGCACACCAGCATTCTCCACATGCTCCGAAACGGCCATGCACAAAATCTCACCATCCGCCGCAACGGCATCCACATCGATCTCTTTTGCTTCTGTCAAGAATTTGGATATAACTACTGGATGCTCCTTGCTTACTAGTGATGCAGCGTTTAAGTAGGTCTCCAGATCTTGATTGGAATACGCCACATTCATAGCGGCACCGGAGAGCACATATGACGGACGCACGAGACATGGATAGCCGACTTCTTCACAAAATTCAATGGCGCTCTTTAAGTTCGTCAACTCCTTCCAACGTGGTTGCAATATGCCTTTGCGGTCCAACATACGTGAGAACTTGAAGCGATTCTCAGCGCTATCAATAGACTCCGGTGATGTGCCGAGCACTTTGGCCTGTTGACGATGCAGATCCATGGCTATGTTATTTGGCAACTGACCACCCATCGAAAGTATAATTCCCTCAGAATTTTCCATTTCATAAACATCCATCACAACTTCAAACGAAATCTCCTCAAAGTAGAGACGATCGCACATGTCATAATCGGTCGATACTGTCTCCGGATTATAGTTTATCATAATTGTGGGCTTACCGAGATTACGCAATTCGCGCAAGCAACCAACGGCGCACCAATCGAATTCCACCGATGAGCCGATACGGTAGACGCCCGAGCCAACCACAATCGTAAAACCGCCTGGGAACTCTAAATCGTGTTCATTAGCATTATAAGTGTGATAGAGGTAGTTGGTGGCTGCAGGCCACTCGCCAGCCACGGTATCTATTTGCTTGACAAAAGGTTTGATGCCCAGCTCTTGACGCTGCTTACGTACCGCTAACTCTGTGCTCTTAATAGCCTCAGCAATTTGTTTATCAGAAAAGCCAATCTGCTTTGCTTGCAAGATTTGTGCGCCCGACAGTGGATTACCTGTCTCTTCCAAGCTATTGTGGAACTCTATAATGTGCTTCATCTTATTTAAGAACCATCTGTCAATCTTGGTGAGCCGATGTAACTCCTCAACACCATAATTGGCTTTGAGTGCCGCTGCAAGCACAAATGGACGCTTGTCTGTCGGCTCAGTTAGTTCCTCCTTACAAAATGGATGCTGGTCGGGATCAAACCCATTTACTGCGCCATCCACCATGCGTAATGCTTTCTGGAAGGCCTCCTCAAAGTTTCGTCCAATAGCCATAACCTCGCCTACACTTTTCATTGAGCTGCCAATATTCTTACTGACGCGTATGAACTTCGCCAAATCCCATCTGGGTATCTTGACCACACAATAATCCAAGCTGGGCTCAAAGCACGCTGTGGTCACACCAGTTACGGAATTCTTAATCGATGGTAGGGAAACTCCAAGCGCTAACTTGGCTGCGACATATGCCAACGGATAGCCCGTGGCCTTGCTGGCCAAAGCGGAGCTGCGAGAAAGGCGTGCATTCACCTCAATGATGTAGTATTCCTCAGAGTGTGGATTGAGCGCATACTGTATGTTACATTCGCCAACCACACCAAAGTGACGTATCACCTTCAACGCAGTGCTACGCAACATGTTGTACTCCTTGTTGGAGAGCGTCTGTGATGGCGCCACCACAATACTCTCGCCAGTATGTATACCCAAAGGATCGAGATTTTCCATATTACAAACCGTTATGCAGTTATCGTAGGCGTCACGTACAACCTCGTACTCCACCTCCTTCCAACCTTTAAGCGATTTGTCAATAATCAGTTGACTTGAGTGTGCCAATGCTTGGTGTGCGAGTGTCTCCAGTTCGCGTTCATTGTCTGCGAAACCGGAGCCTAAACCACCTAATGAAAATGCCGCACGCGCCATTACTGGATAGCCCAAACGTTTAGCGGCCTCCAATGCCTCTTCTACTGAGTAGACAGCTTCTGATGGCGCGACACACTCGCCAATTTCAGCAACGCGGTCGGCGAAGATTTTTCGATCCTCCGTCTCGATAATCGATTGTATGGGTGTACCCAATATTTGCACGTTATATTTCTCGAAGACACCAGCACGTTCCAATTCGACACCACAATTGAGCGCTGTTTGACCACCGAACGTGAGCAACACGCCATTTGGACGCTCCGCTTGTATAACCTGCTCCACATACTCTGGCGTCAAGGGCAAGAAGTAGCACTTGTCGGCGAGACCCTTTGATGTTTGTACGGTGGCGATGTTGGGATTTATCAGAACGGTTTGTATTTTCTCCTCTTTCATTGCTTTAATGGCTTGTGCGCCTGAGTAGTCGAATTCTCCCGCTTGCCCAATTGATAAGCCGCCGGAGCCGAGAATTAGTACTTTACGTGGACGTTTTTCGTGTATGGTGTCGTATTTAGGTTGGTATGTAAGACGATTGATCAAATTCTGACGTAAGCTCACATCGCCTGCAAGACTTTTTTGCTTTACGGCATCGAGAAAAATATCGAAAAGCAATTCTAAATCTTCAGGACCAGCGGTATGCTCAGGATGGAATTGTACCGAGAAGTATGGCTTGCTTGTGTGGATGATACCTAAAAGAGATTTATTGAATTACTAATGGTAAAAAAATTGGTGTATTGTTTCTTGTTACCTTCATTAGTGTTGTCGTTGGCATTAGTAAAAAGTGGCTCCCACTCAGCTGGCAATGTGTTGCTGTCCACAGCAAAACCGTGATTTTGCGAGGTCATGAAACACCGTCCAGTGCCGTTATGTACGCATGGCAGATTGTGTCCACGGTTGCCATACTTCATTTTGTACGTCTTGCAACCAATAGCGGTTGCGAGCAGTTGATGACCCAAACAAATACCGAAAATCGGTTTCTTGCCATTCTTCAAAACTCGTTGTATCTGCATAACAGTGTCCTTACATACAAACGGATCACCAGGACCGTTACTAATGAAGAGCCCATCAAACTCATCCTCCTTCAGTGGATAATTCCAAGGTACCAACTCGACACGCGCACCACGTGACACAAAGCACTTAATCTGATTCAGTTTCAAACCACAATCGATGGCACAAATACGTGGCGTGCCAGTGGCGTTAAATACTCGTGGCTCCTTAACGGAACACTCGGCTACCAAGTTTCTCAAATTTGGATCGGCAAAAGTTAGACTACCCAAATTTGTTGGTTTCTCGTAAACGATGCGGCCCAGTATGGAACCATTTTCGCGTATCTTTTTCGTGAGTGCACGTGTATCTATGCCGCTAATGCCTGGTACACCATGACCTTCCATCCACTGTGACAGCGTTTGCTTAGCACGCCAATGTGACGGTGCTTCACATACTTCGCCCACCACTAGCGCAGCTACTGTAATGCCTTCCAACCATTCAAAATTTACCGGCAGGCAATGTTCGTCGAGCTCTTTCTCATCTGGCACTCCATAATTGCCGATTAGCGGATAGGTTAGCACCAGTATTTGTGCACGATATGAACGATCGGTCATCGATTCGGGATAACCCACCATACCAGTTTGAAAGACCACCTCACCATCGACAGGCGCCTTAGCACCAAATGCATAACCAGGCAATATGGTGTTGTCTTCTAGAACCAAATAGCAGTTTTGCGACGGCATTTTGGATATTTATAAAAAAACTGAAAAAATAGAAATTACAAAATGAATGACAATAGAAGGAATTTGAAGAAACTTGAAAATACAAAGAAAAGTGATATGTTTGCATTAAAGATGACCTTTGTGTGTTCTTACATCGCAGGAGGAAGCAGGAAGCACTCATTTTATGCTCTCTATGTTAAATTTCGAAATATGATGTACGTTAGGTGGAAGCTACTTATGAATACAGGATCAGTTCCATACATGTAGCTTTTACTACTCAACCCAAAAATGCCATCTCGGCTACATTTCCTACAAATATTTCGAGAGTATTTTATAACAATGAAATTATGACAATGAATTTAGCTCAGGTCGAATGTAGGAAACAATGGAGCATAAGTGATTTCTCAATACTCCAACCCAGAAATAACTCACCAATAATGGCGTTTAATACCAAGTATTCAATTATAGTTTCAACAAAAACAATTTCAGACCATTTAAAAGTTATGGGAAAGATCCAAAAGTGTGGAAAGTAGGTGCCACATTAATTTAACTAAAGTCAAACGAAAAACCGAAAAAACTCTTGTGAAAAGACGATAAGTGGTGATAAGTGGTAAGGGTGTGATATCATGAGCATCTAAAACCAGGGGAAACTGTTAATACTAATCGCTACATACAACAAGCGATCAATTTGAATCAGGAATTGATCGAAATATGACCAGAATGGGCCAGAAGACACGTCAAAGTTATTTCCGCTTATCGTTTGTATTCATAGATGGGAAATGCATTGACTGAGCAACACTGCGATTTCTACGCAGAAGTCGAAAATTAGGTGTATGATTGGTTTGCTTCAAAAGACGAACATTTCTATTGACATGGTATCCACAAATGCCCAGAAAGTTACTTACTTTCCTATTCGAAATTATTACTTTATTTCATACCGGCCCAACTGAATACTTCTCTAAAATCAAACATCTAGTTCGGAAATCTCAAATTCCATGTGCTTACTGAGCATACCAAACTTTTAGCATTTCTTGCGAAATACAAAAAAAGTATTGATAAATAAAATAAACTCTGTAGTTATCGATGTAGGGTATACTCAGTTATCATTAATTATGAAAAACGTCATTGACAGCGTCGGCATGCCTATTGTTTTTGTTTCTCTCAAAGCACGTGTGCTACCATTTGGCCACTACTATGTGTGCAATATACATATGTACAAATGTATGTGTGTGGTTAAAATATCGCTCTGAGAAACTAAAACAACCCAAGAGTTATCAAAAATTATCTTATCACGATTGTTTTGTCTGGCAGACAGTACTTGACGTTTCTTTCTACTGAGAGCAATAACAAAATGAGGTCTCTCTGAACTATTAAATAAAAGAGGCCGGTTTGAGAGAGCTTATGTGCTAGTGAGCGATAAGGCGATAAGACAGCGCCGCGATATCTTGATAATTAAGGTGATTATGAGGTTAGTAACTGCGTTGTGGTCTGCACAGCTTTTTATTGGCGTACTAATTGGAGATTTATACGCACCTATGAATGTATTGTATTTATATGTTTGCATGGAAACGCGTACATAAGTGTGTGTTTATAAATATAGCTACTATTTTATTCAGTGGCTATGTCAATTAGGAAGCCCAAATCGGTCTGGAACAATTTTATGGCTTAATCAATGCGTAATTGAACATTTTGCGTGTGAATAGGCATCTAAGTAGTAAATACATATGAATGTACATATACGTAATAAAATATATAAAGAAATACAAATGAAATATATAAAGAAAATATTCATGATTTTTATTAAGTTAAAAATCTTTCCGTTCATAGCATAAACCATTTTTAAATAATTTTTGGTTTAAATTTTTTAAACCTATTTAATTTAAAATCACCACAAAAATGTATATTCCATTTAAAAATTGTTAAGAGCACAAGTTTATTTATGTGTTGGCTCTTTTTGGATGAAATAAATAATTAATACTAAATTAATAAATATATAATTATCAGTAATGAGTTTAAAAAATTATTTTAAAAAATATTAAAATTTGTCTATAATATAAATGGAAAAAATGTTAAACTAATAGTAATAACTAATATTCTATTTATGTATACATGTTTAATAATAAGTTAAATTAGATAATAATTTTAAATAAAACGCAAATTTTATACTTGCTTGCGTGCCAAATTCATAAACCCACTGTTTCATCGGCAGTTATAATACTCTTCATGAATGTGGGAACGAAATTCGTTAGCATGTCGAAGAAACTCGTTTACGGTACACTTTTCAAAAAACTTCTATTTGACAAGAACGTGTTTCATTCCCTAAATATCCACCAAAATAATTCGAATGAATTCGCGAGAGATGTCGAGGGCTCTTGCCATCTCTCTAATATGTACCTGACGATTTTCAAACACCATATACTTCATTTTTTTAACGTCTGAACATCGCGACGTCCAGAACGAAGCATGTTTTCACTGATCTCTAGACCGTCTTTGAAGGCTTTGTACCGCTCAAAGGCTTGTGTTTTTGATTCACAGTAATCCTTTTCCAACATTAGCAATGATTTCGTACACGAAATTTGGTTGGAAATACAATTGCACAGACATTCTTTGTTTGATATCTTTATAATCTCCCTGACAGAACGCACTCATATTTGACATGATAATTAAGGGTTGTCCTACGAACTTAGCAATTTTTTTGAAATATAATTTTTTTTTTCTTAATGTTTATGACGCAGACTTGTATACTTTTATCAAAACTCTTATCGCACATAACATATCACGTTCCATACAGCACTCCATACAATACAATCCATGCTATTAGATAACTAAGTTTTTGTCACTAATCTATGCAAAAATAACTGAAAAAAGTATTATTCCCTAATTTATGTTAAGTCTTCCTTAATTATTAAAAGAATCAACTGAGTCAAAATGAGATATCTCAATGAAACTTGGTACACAGGTTCCTTAGTATAAAAAAATTCGAGTTCGTAGATTTGCGTAATTGGACCACTGTCACACCCACAAATCGCCATTAAATTGAAAATTGAACGATGCGCTTGACACCGTCCACTTTCTGGTGAAATCCCATATCTCGGGATCCGACCAACGGATTTCGCCAAAATTTAGAACGTGGCATTTTTCTAATATTTTTATGTTACACTGTGAAAATGGTGCAAATCGGACAGCACCACGCCTACTTCCCGTATAGCACAATTTTATATTCCACTTGTTTCGTTTAGTAGTTATACAAACTTTCAGCTGACCACGACTGTTAACCGAATAGACCACGTTTAGTATACAGTGAAGAAAATATAACAGCCCTACCTGAGTGAGCACGTCGAGATCTTAAATTGAAAACTTCCACGAAGATTCGACGTTTTCGGGCCAAATTTCGTTAAGCGATTACGATCATTAACAAGCAAAATTGCTGCATTTGGGACGAAGAGCAACCTTAAAAGCTTCAAGAGATGTCGTTTCATTAGATTTAGACTTACTAACTTAGACTTTTCATGTGGGGACATTGATCGTCTAAAGTCTATGCGGACAATCCTGCTTCGATTCAGGCCTTGAAGCAAAACATCACGTGTCATTCACCAGTTACCAATAGAAGGCTCGAAAACGTTTTCGAAAATTTAAAATAAATAACTTCCAAAAAATATTTCCCAGTAAATTTGAAGTTCCTGGGCATTTTTTTCAAAAAGTAGGGAACCTCGAAACGGATCACCCTTTATTAGTATGTAATATTTTGTAGTTCGTAATATATAATTTGATTAACATTTTCAGATTTTGTTTTCATTCAAACACAACAAACCTTCGACTTATCGCATTTCTTATGAATTTGGTTGAACCACAAATATTATATACATATGTATACAGTATTTCATTTAACTCTGAATGGAGCATAAGTCCAAAAATGTGTAACTAAGGGCATAAGAAGCTCTTTTAAACATTGATATCATTATTGCAATAAACAATTGTGGACGACAAGTCGCACTAATAATAAGTTAATTTTAGGAAAAGTTTTGTAACTAATTTTTTTTTTTGGACAAAGGAAAAAGTCAACTTTTTCTTGATCGAATTTTCACGGTCACTTGAGTTGTTTCAACTTATTGTTATTATTTTTTGTTTTTATGGAACGACTCCCAACAATGAGCTTCAGAACGTGAGCGCACAGCCAAGGCAAAACGCATGTACATAAAAGTTTGTAAGTTTGTAGCAAAATTAAGTTGGAACGCGGTACAATGTCGCAGCGTCAAGACCAGGGAAAACAAGCCCATTTTCAATTATAATGCTTGTTTATGTTCAACTTGCTCGATTCCCATAAAACAAGAAAAAAATTAACTACAACAAAAACAAGAACAAATATTCCGCACTTTAAATGTTTGAGTAAAAATGTATGGGCTTGATTACAAACATACCTTACATGCATACAGACACTTGTGCCTTATGGCTATCTGTTAACGTTTGTATGTAGTAAGCAGCTGTATGATAAACATAGGTAGGCCCACTACCTTAATGAACCGGTTATAAGACTGTTAGCAAAGAGGCAATAAAGCAGACTTTCTACAGGCTTACAAACTTATATATATGTATATACATAGTATAAGAACATATGTGTATACATACACACATTTGTACACACAAATGCGTGACCTTTCGTTGGAGTACATGAAGTAACTCGTTTTGTAATTTAAATTACAAAAAACTCTTTGTTTCGGTGTTCGGTGTAATATTGCARGAATTTAATTTAAAGTAAAATAAATAAATGGTCAATGCTTGAAATTTAACTCAGCCCATGTGCCACATGTACCCACCAAATGTACATACGCACAAGCACACACGCGCTTAGCACCCATAAGTGTGAGTAGATGGGCAGAAAATTAATTTTCGTAAAGAAATCCATTGTAAAAAGCTTAAGTTTACTTAGTTATCACTTATCACTCACTTTGTCTGTTGGAGATGTAAACAAAATGCACTTAAAATGATTTATTTGAAGTTTGCAAACTCTCCACGTGTCTTTTGCTACCCTTATGGAACACAACCGTACTGGAGAAGGAAATTACTACCTTCACGATTGGTCGCTAGCACACGACTGACTATCCACAGAACTGCTCCCGGAGACCAGCCGGAGGTCGGAGCACACACAAAAAGATGGAAATTTGCGGTAGAGTTGCCAAGTGTTTTGTGAAAACTTTGGTGGAAAGAGGAGGCAATTTAATTGTCAAAAATTTGGTAAGAAATTGTGAAAATTTCTCAAATAACATTCATTGATTGACAAATTCGAATAATATTTTCAATTATTTATACTTTAACCGAAAACTTGATATTTTCGACTTTCTTAAGGAAATTTCATTTATAGCGTTGACCATCAGAAACATTTTTTTTTTAATAAAAATAATGACAAAAGTTAAGTTTTGGTTGAGAATTTCAAGTAACTATAACAATATGAGGTAATATTATGTTCCATGAGTTTTTTGAGCAAGAGCTTTGGTACAATAACAGATATTAAAAAAAAAAAATGTTTTTTCATTAAAACATTTTATCAAAATACTCAAAAATGCTCTAAAATTTTACTTTTCAAAATCTTCTAAAATCCTCCAGTGATTAAATATTACATCACATGGCAATTCTAAATTTCCACATGTATGTATATTCTCATAGTTATCAATACACATGTATGTAGCCTACGGTTGAGAGCTGTTATTAATCGTGCGAGTTACCTGACCAGTTCCAGCAATAAGCATGTTCAGCTGCTCTCACAACCTCAACGAGACCGGCATTTTCATATCAGCTGGGCGTTAAATAGACTCTCTTCGCTATACTACTATATGCTTTCTACAATTTCTCAATGCCGCTCCTAGTCAAATGTTTTGTGGAGTAAAGACTAGCTGAGAAAGTATCAACAAGTTGTAAGAGAGAAGCACAGTGTAGTAAAAAGAGTGATTGATAGATTTATAATTCATAAAATAGTTCACATATTTAACAGGAATTGGAGTAATAAATGAACATTAGGTTAAATGTTTACTGAAATCCACAACTTACTTATAGTAAGCTTTTTAGAAAGCTTTTGCACACTCTGATTTGAGCTCCATAAGCACCTTTATATAGTAGCTTCGTAAACTATACTTAACGAAATCAGTGAGCTAGTACTAGATCAGTCCTGCGCCGTGGCTTAATAGTTAGACGTGAGTGTGGCCACCATAAAGAATGAGTTTTGACTGATATAATCCGGAACTTTGTTTATTTCATTTGCAGACAATTGTAAATTTCCCAAGGTATTTCTGTCAGTATAGAACTTGCAAACCTATAAATTTTAGATGCTTAGAACTTGCAGATCCTATATTTTTTCGATTAATATCAGGGCACTCATCACAATTGAGAGCATAAGCTCGGTGAAATAGTCATGCTACGAGTCAACCACAACAACAAAAAAACAAAAATAAAATAAAAATAAGCAAGTTCTTTTACCTTCACAAGTCTTGTCTAATAATTTTTCCTCACAATTTCCGTAAATATTTTCAAAATCAAGAAATTCTTCCATTACTCTGCGCGACACTGTATAATTTTCCTCTAAAGTTTCCTAAATATATTGAAATCCATAAAAAGTTCTATTACTTTGGACGACACTGTATGTTCCAACTAGTTTGAGAAACTTATTTTATTTACCTTAAAAGCTTTATTAAAAGAGCTTTTATCATGGCACATCTGTATGTCTATGCTCTGAATTTTTTCAGAGTACTCTACCAATCGAAAACAAGAGCTTTTCTAATAACACCTCAATTGAACTTTAATTATGTACATCAAGGGCACCAAACCTGTCGAACAAGCGAATTACCGTTGACTCTTGTTCCGCCACAATCATACTAGAATATAACGGCTCATTTCGGTCTTTTGGTACAAGTATAGCGTTAAAAAGCTTCATGCTTATAACCAAAAAAGTTAAATCGGCCTATGAAAGATCTTCAACTATCTCCCTGATGCCAACATGAAGATTTTTTAATTTATTTAATTGACATATTGAATATAAACAAAACTATTATACTCTGTAGAAACAGGTTGCAAGAGGATAAAAAGGTTTATCAATCTAGGGCAAAAAGTATCGATTGGTAGATATCATCACACCATTTCACCTTGTAATCGGTCAGATAGCCAAACACACACTACTACAAATAACAGCAAAAGGATGCGGCAAAAGTAAGGTAATCTCGTCCCAGCGAATGAAAAAGTTAAGTCGTGTAATACCATTGGTTCTTCTACCAAGGGACAGCATTACCAAAAGGTTAAACTTCACAAAGAAGTCTAAAGTTACACTTAACTGAATGTAATGATTCCACTCTCGAGCTACTGCTTATGGATAGTACAATCAAGTAGTACACTGACGGCTCGAGAACGTAGGAGGGTTTTGGTGCTTAAGTCACAGGACCACGAACCAAACTCTCCATACCTATGGGACGTTTGCCGAGCAGAGATAAACCTCCAACACAACTAACGTATAGCCATACTTAGTGATAGTCAAGCAATGTCTGCCTTTGAGATCAAATCGCTACTAGTGCAGGAGTGTAGAGAACGGCTGAACAGCCTAGCGGAACGTAACCAAGTGCACCTCATTTTTGTGTCCGATCGCAAAGGTATAGTCGGAAACTGACTGAGGAGCTCGCCCGCTCCGCAGTATCCAAGAAAAAGGCAACATCTCCAAGGCATGCGACATGCCAAGTTGCTAATGGATGTAACCTCAGCTGATTTAAACATGTAAATACCCTCTTTAAGGACAGATTCACGTGAAAGCAAGGTGAAAAAGCGCTTATACAACATGTTGGCTCTGCCATAGGGATTCTGAAACATCAGAACACCTGCTAATAGACTACATGGCAGTTTGTAGACGTAGGTTGAATGCCCCTGTTTCCTTGTTTCAAAATAGGGATCACATCGCTTCGCTAGCACCCAGCAGTGTATTGGACTTTATCAATATGCTGGGGCCAGGAGAGGATTTGCGATTTGGGAGAGTGCACAATAAACCCAAGGCCGCGATGCATTCCTCGTTTATCAATCTAATAGATCGCTATGGGTTAATTTGATCGTGAGTGTAAACTGGTACCCAAGTTGATTCTAAAAATAATACTTTTTAAAACTCAAATCAAGCGCATTCGCCAAGGAAATTGATTTCATTTATGAGAGGTTCTAATGGTGCCAATTTACTGCACTTAGGTCGAATGTCGAACTGGATTGTCGTTACATTTGCCAATTGGTGCCCTGAGTGGGAACTTTTACATTCTCTGTTTACTCAACTAACTTAACATATGAATCAAGCGAAGCAAAGAGTGAAATGAGTATTCAAACTATTTTCAAAATTCTTAAAGAAACTTAACTCATTATCCTCACCTTCTCAATAACGAAACAACTCCACTCAAATAATTACTTGATAAATACTTTATAGTTTAAGTGTAATCATTTATTGCAATACAAAAATTAACAATTTAATAAAATATAACAAAAATTATTAATTACAAAACACAAGGACACAATTTTCTCTTCTCTCTTTAACAACTAAAACACTTTGATTTCCGTTACTCGTATGCTTGTAGATTGCAACAAAAATATATGAAAATCTACTCTCACTCAAAGAAAGATAAAGTAAATAAAAAAGTGCAGCAAAAAAGAAATGATTATTCTTCTTCTTAAAAAAATGAAATGATTATTACTTCCGAGAATTTAGTAAATATTATTAAGAAAAATTAATAATTATGCAACTTTGTATATTTGTATGCATTAATGCTGTTAAATTGTTGCATACTATATATATGTGATTTTATCAAGTATAAGTCAGTATAAAGAAATCTAAATGCTTTCACGTTCATTTGCTTAATATTTCATACAATTAACCGTTAGACAACTGTATACGTAGCTCTATCAAATAATTTATTTTGCGCTATATTAATAAATTTTATATAATAGATTAGAATAATTTCACTTTGCTTGCTAATTAAACGTTTGTTGGCGCATCCATGCCACAAATAATCGATTTGACCACAGACGCGGCCGCCAAAGAGGAGAAATTCTGCCATTTCCGCGTCGACATGCCGTCCTTGTAGTCGGAAATACCTGTAGTGAGAGCAAATATTGAGTTTTATTATTTAATAAAATTGAAATCGACTTCTTTGTCACTTGCCTTTCACCAGTATGAAGCTCTCCCTGCAGTTGCCGATAATGCTGTCCAGCACGGAACTCATTTCTACATCGGTGGCCAGCAAGCCATACTTCTTAGCAAACTCCATGCGCGAGTTGTCGCTGCGCACCAGATCGCGACCGGAGCCAATGGGTCCGAGATGCAGGCGGGAACGTGGCACGCCGTCCACAGTGTCCGTGGCAATGGGATGTGCCACCTCGATGACCTCATTATTGCCGATATTCATGAATAACTTATCGGTATTGGTGGACGGGCGACTGAAGTCACTCTCAGTCTTTTGCATCAGCGATGCTAAGCCTTCACGCAGGTAGGTATCCCATGGACGCTTGACCTCCATGTTGGCTTGTAGGCCTTCGGCGATTTGCTGCAGTGAGTCATTGCTGGGGAAATAGGTCTTGACATCTTCGCCGCTCTGATAGATATACACGTAGGGTTTCTCATTTCTGTAAAATTTTAGCCACAAATAATAATATTATTACAAATAATTCATAATTTATGACTCTTCAAATCTGTTTCATCCATACTCAGCTGCTACTCACTTGCTTAATAGCGCACGCTGTTTATCCACATATGAAATGACGACATCTCCCAAACGCACATGCTTCTTGTAATCGGTATAATGCGGCACACCACCGGCCACGCCCACTACGAAGACGTAGTCGACCTTTTGGAATGTGCCCAGCAGACGCGTCGTTGTATTGCCCGTGGCAGTCATAGCTTCACGTGTACTACCCACCGAGGGTAATTTCGTGCTGACGATGCGATGGGCGCCAATGTTGCCCAAGGTGTAGACGTTCGATTCGCCTGTTGGTAATAGAGTAAAGAATGAAATATTTCACAACTTTCTTAAGTAGGAGCTGGAGAATACCCAGATATCTATGTTCATTTGGGGT